CTCCTGATTTTGTTATAATAATAATAATAATAATAATAATAATAATAATAATAATAATAATAATAATTATTATTATTATTATTCTTGAGTCTGCTGGTGTATGCAAAGTTGTACAGGCTCTGTGTTAGACACGAGCTGCTTTCAATATTTCCTGTGCCGGTGTCGGTCAACCGAGTGTTGAGTGCGTGCAACACTTGGCTGAGCAATGCTGGCTGGGATACATTCTCAAAATCCTGCAAGGGGGGGAGTAAAGATTCCGCTGGGAATTGGGGACAATTTGCTGGGAGCGTTTGCTACCAATCTGGGGTCTTGGGAGCGCAGAAGACACACTATGTGGGTTAGAGGATGTAAGCATTCAACTAGTTTATGGGCCTTATGCGGTCCCTCAAGTGCTCAAGCGTTTTTGTTTTTGTCTTCCCCATCATCTGCAAATGTTCCTAGTGGCAGTCTCAAGGGAAAAGCCTAAGGTGGTGTTGGTGCCTGATGCAGGCAAGGCCTGCTGGTCTATGTAGTAAACATTATTTTACAAGCTTTTGGACAGGGCTAGAAGGTGGTGAAAAGCCTGTGGTCAGCCAGTGAGATGATTTGATTCCTGGCATTTATCAATAACGCACTTTTCAGCTTGTTCTCCGATACTCCACCTCAGTTTCCTTAATCTATAAAGTGATAATAGCAGAAGTATTCACACCGATTGGCCCATCTAATACTTACAGAGCATTTGGGAGCTTGCCTTGCTCATGGTAAGCATATCATTGAATGGGAGTGGGCCCCAGACGAAGGTCCTAGGTACGTGGGATGTGGTGTTGAACAGTTAAGAAAGTTCAGAATCTCAGCTTTAAGCTGGTGCAGCTTCAAGCACCTTTGTCAGCCTTCTGAGCTGTAAGGATGGTGTGTGTGTGTGTGTGTGTGTGTGTGTGTGTGTGTGTACACACACGAACGCATATGTGTGGTAGATACACTTGTCTGGTTACATCTACAGGGTGGTTCTCGAACCAGTGACCTCCTGTTCCCAGCTGGGCCTGGAGTTTCCTTGTGGCTGTGGTTGGAATTACTACTTGTCCTTCCTATAGGGTAGGCTAGCCAGTAAAGAATTGAGGTTGTGTAACCCAGACACGTACAGCCTTTGTTTTGAGTGCATTTGAGCTTCGAAATTCTAGGAAGCCATGTGCCAAGCATCATGTTCAATCTAGAAAAAGTCTCTTTAACACTGGGCCGTGCTGTCTTTGGCAGAGTAAAACGACAGGTTCCCAGAAGCCCCCTCCCCCCAGTGCTTCCCTGCTTATGCAGATTTTTTTTTTCCCCTATAGTGCACATCCTTTATTCCTGAAGCCCGGGAAGTGCTTGACCTGGTTGACCAATGCCCAAGGGAGATCCAGAAAGGGAAGTTCCAGGTCATTGCCATTGAAGGACTGGATGCCACTGGTGAGTGAGTACTGTTTTGTAGTTACTGTCAATGATACGGATCCAATTGTTGCAGGAGGTAGTTCTTACAATATTAAATGCCATACAGAGCCTTCTATGAGTCTGTACCAGGCCTACCAGGGGATACAATGTGGGGGTGGGATTAATGAAGCTCTCAGGGTTCCTGTTCTACTGAAACCTCCAGAGTATACCCAAGGTGATACCCAAGCTGTATTCTAAGAACAAATAGGAGCAGGCTGGGTGACAAAAATAAGGAAGATAGAAGCAATGGCTGGGCACAGGTGCAGTACTTGTTTGGGAGCCACATTACATTCAGAGGCTCCTGTAGAGTAAACCGGGGAAAGGAGACAATGGAAGCTTCCTGGACTACTCTAAGGGGTCAGAGATGAAAATGTGTTACCTGTAACTAGAACACTCAATCAACTCCAGGAGAAGGCTGATGGTGGAGGGTGTTATTATCTTTAGACTTCTCCCATGTCACTTGGATGGGTACAGACTGCTGCTGTATTCTTTGTTTTGATGGTTGTATTGTTTGTCTGTTTGTTTGTTTGTTTGTTTTTGTCAGCTTGACAAACAGGAGACCTCAAGTGAGAAAATGCTTCTGCCCGACTGTCCTGCAGGGAAGTTGATGGAAACATTTATTTTTCTTGATTAATGATGACACGGGAGGAACCAGCCCACTGCTGGTGGTGCCTCCTAGGGCAGGTGGTTCTGAGCTGTATGGAAAACAGTCTAAGCAACACAAGAGGAGTGAGCCCGTAAGCAGCCTCCCTCCGTTGTCTCTGCTTTAGTTCCTTGCCTTGAGTCCCTAACCTGTTTTCCTTCAGTAATGGAGTGTGCCCTGGGAGTTGTAAGATGAAATAAACTTCCTGGTGATGGTTTTGGTCAGTGCTTTATCACAGCAGCAGAAAGCAAACTAGGGTCACAGTACTGGCAATTGAGTCAGGGATTTCTCACATGCTAGACAAGTGCTTCACCACAGACCCACATCCCTGGTCCTAGGCTCTTATCTTCAATGATGCCAAAGGTCCTTTCCACATTGGTACTTTTTTGTGTCACAACTGGGTGGCATAGTGGGGTGGCTGTAACTTCCTGTCCTAGCTCTGCCTGCAAGTCATCGGGTGGGAGAAGCTTTGTGCTTGGCATTTAGCAGTTCTTATCACTATGCCAAGACCTAGTTGAGGCTGGTTTTTAGCCATGGCTAGAATTTTAACATCAGCTGTCCACTGTGGGGCTTTTGGTCTTTTCATTTTCTGTCTCTTTTCTTTTCCGTTTTTTCTTTTTTGATCCAGTGTGTTTTATGGTCATCTATTTTTGTAGTAAGAAATAATTCAGATTCTGTGGGACAAAGGGAAAATACAAGCCTTTAACCTCAACACACCTATGCACCTTTGTGTGAAGTTCACAAAGTGACTATGAGGAGAGGGGGGCGGGAAGCTTCAGTTGCCACAGCTGCACCTTGGGTCCAGCCCCACTGTGAGTGACTCAATGGATACTCTTATGGAGACTAGGGCATCCAGAGCATGCTGTGTGTTGACAGTGTGCTCATAATACACAAACCAAAATGCTCAGCACTGTTGGGATCTGCATGAACATCCCAAGAGAATAATAAATAAATAGTTGGTGATGAAGTCTTGGTACCTTGAGCAGTAAATATGAAAGAGGAAAAAGACCTTAAGAATCTAAACCATTGGAGCTCAGTGAGGCCAGCAAAGACCGTCTGTCTGGAGTAGATTATGCCTTATCACTGTAGTCCTGTGCTCCAGGCAAAGGCTGGGACATCTGAGATGGGCCCAGGGCAGTGTGACACCCAGAGAAAGAGGACTCCAAAAATATACCTAAATATACCTTAAAGGGGGGACTTGAACTCTGACAAGTCAAACTTAGGCATTCTAAACACCAAGCCAAATGTCAAGCACAGAGTAGTGAGAGTGGGGGCAGGAACAGAGCAAGGTGGACTTTGGAAGGGAGTTGGGCAGAAACAGAATGGGGCTGGAGCCGGTGGAGAGAAGCTGAGAAATGGAGAGGAGCTGGAGCAGGTGAAGAGAAGCTGGGCAGAAGTGGAGTGGGGCTGGAGCAAGTGGATCTCAAAGAGAAACGAACAGAAGTACAAGAAGAATGAGAAGTGACCCCGAAGTGGGCTAGGGAAAGGAGAAGACTTCGTAGTTAGGTTTCTGTTGCTTTCTAAACACCATGACCAAAAGCACCTCACAGAGTAAAAGGATTGTTTCACCTGACAACTTTCAGTCCATCACAAAGCAAGTCATGGCAGGAGCTCAAGTAGGAACCTGGCATCAGGAGCAGAAGCAGAGGCTATGAAGGGGTGCTGCTTGGTGGCTTACTCCTCAAGGCTTTAGGTCAGCCCGTTTTTTTCCTATAGAACCCAGGACATTATTTAATCATTTCCGTTGAATTACAGATTAAAGATCTTTGCTCTACCTTGGTTAATAGGTTAGTGTTAACCTTTGGGAGGACCATGGGGGTTTCAGCTAAGAAGTGTTCTGTTTTGTTTGCATCCTGCAGGTAAAAGCACTGTGACCCAGTCAGTGTCACAGTCTCTCAATGCTGCCCTCTTACATTCGCCACCCCCTTGCATCGGCCTGTGGAGGAAAATCTTTGATGAGGAACCTACTATCATTCGAAGAGCATTTTACTCTTTGGGCAATTATCTTGTGGCTTCTGAAATAGCTAGAGAATCAGCCAGGTCCCCTGTTATTGTAGACAGGTGGGTAGCAAGATGCCTTCTCCATGACACATGACTCTCTCTCTCTCTCTCTCTCTCTCTCTCTCTCTCTCTCTCTCTCTCTCTCTCTCTCACCCACCCCCACACCCACACACACCGACACCCACACACACCTCTCTGCAGGTGCTCAATTGTGAACAAGCATTGTGATTAGAAAGGAAATACTGAATTACTAACTACCTTTATCATACCCTGACATTTTATACTAATATCTGGAATAGTGCCTTGGCGAGGTTGGCATCAGATGATCTCTGCAATTAACTAATAAGGATCATGGATTCTGAAAGGTTGTGTCATAACTAACAAGCATCGCCCCTCTTATTATCATAATCAATGGAAACCCCCTGGCTAGTGCAGTGGACCTATCATGTGACTCCCACTGTGTCCTTTGCCCTCTGACAAAAAGTTCCAAAAAACGATTGAAAATTAAAGGATTGAGGGATAGCTATGGTCACACAATCTAAGATGTCAGTGAGACTTGGAGAATTTTCAAACCTAGGAACGGTCTCTTTTTCCTGGAAACATGGATTTACACAAGTACTTGCTGTAGGAAATTCTCCTTTGATGTTGGATATGAAGCTTTACATTTGTTCACTTTGTATTAGAATGTTGCCTGAACAGGGCAAGAATCTGTTTGCAACAAAGGCTTGGAGGGTGCCTTCACCAACAACACTTTGCATTTGGGATTGCAGAGGTCCCCAAATGCCCATTAATGCCTGGTGGGTAACTTAAAAAAAGAAAGAAAGAAAAGGAAGGAAAGAAGGAAGGAAGGAAAGAAGGAAGGAAGAAAAGAAAAAGATAATGCAGGGCACCTTGTTCTTCTTTGTTCTGAGTCTGAGTCATTCTCTCCTGTGGTCACCTTTGATTCCAGGACATTGTCTGTATCATGAGTGAACATCTTTCAACAAGGGTTGAGTCTTCCCACAAGGCAACAGCAACTTTTCCCTCCTGACTGATCCTGAGTTTGTGATCATCCAGGTCACATCTAGACCAAGACTGACTAGCTATGTGTGTACCTTGTCTCCTAACGTTTTTTTACCCTTCCCCTACTTAATCTTGGCGCTCATGTCAGTGCCCCAAGGACAAAGTTAAGAAGACAGGTACCTTCTGTCTTCCTCATGTGACGGCAGTGATAGGAACCCCTTTCCTTCTGGTTACCATTGGTTTTGGTGTCAGTGGCAGGACTTGGATTTTCTGGGACACACTGAGTTGAGCCCCTGTTCTAATAATATTGCACATTTATGTTAGTAAATATCATTCATTGATACGTGCAAGCATGTGTTCACCAGTAGCTATAAGGAACATTACTTAATGCATGCTACTAAATCTCATTCATTAATACATATAAGGGATATTCACTTATTGCATACCTACTATGTGCTGGTTTTGTAGTTTTCATGTTTGAGAATACAGAAGTAATTAAGAGCATTCCCACTCAGGGAATTCATTGTCCATGGAGGAGACAGGATTTCACACCTGAAACAATAGGTGTGGGCCCCAGTGAGAAGTTCCTCAGTAGAGTCTCCTCCAGAATACGAGGAGACAGAGGCAGAACATGGATTCCATATGGGGCCATCATGGCAGCAGAACTGAAGGCAGAGGAGGGATTTTTGCTAGTTGAGCATTTTGCTTTCAAATGGTGTCTTGACTTCTTCCAAAGATGAGAATTCATTGTTGCCTTGTTCCCCAGGTACTGGCATAGCACAGCCACCTATGGCATAGCCACTGAGGTGAGTGGAGGCCTACAGTACCTGCCCCCTGCCCACCACCCTGTGTACCAGTGGCCAGGAGACCTGCTGAAGCCGGACCTTGTCCTGCTGCTCACAGTGAATCCTGAAGAGAGAGTGAAGAGACTGCAGGGCCGGGGCCTGGAGAAAACTAAAGAAGAGGCCGAACTTGAGGCTAATAATGTGTTTCGCCAGAAGTACGTGTTCCTAGAGTGATGTGAACGGTGGAAGTCCCTAAGGTCTCTAAGCGTGGACAAGAACTGCTTTAGAATGCAGAGTAAAGGGCACAGTTCCTGTGCTTCAAGTACAAGAGGCAATGTCCCCTAAGCTACCCAGTCTCTGTCACTATGCTTGTTACCATATGGCTTCAGCATGGCCAATTGGGGTTTCTGTGTCAAAAATGGTAGAACTTTGATTAAAACCCAAAGTTTCAGGATTGGGGACACACTCTGTCAATAATATGCTTGCTGTACAAACCTGGGTTTGACCTTCAGCATCTGTCTTATTCAGTGTTCTATTGCTGTGAATAGACACCATGACCACGGCAACTTTTATAATGGAAAACATTTGTTTGGGTCTGGCTTGCAGTTTCAAAGCTTTAGTCTGTTATCATCATGTCGGAAAGCATGGCAGCAACAGGCAGAGATGGTGGTGGAGAAGGAGCCAAGACTTCTATATCTACATTCATAGGTAGCAGGAAGAAAAAGACATTGGGCCTAGCTTGGGATTCTGACAGCTCAATGAATACCCCCAGGGACTTGCTTCCTCCAATAAGGTCACACCTTCTTAATCCTTTTAAGTAGTGCCACTCCCTCGTAACTAAGCATTTGAATCTATGAGCCTATGGGGACATTCTTATTGCAGCCTCTACATTCCACTCCCTGGCCCCCATAGGCTTGTAGCCATATCACAATGCAAAAAAATACATTCAATCCAACTTTAAAACTCCCATAGTCTATCACAGGCTCAGCACAGTTTAAAAGTCAAAAGTTCTAAGTCTCTTCAGAGACTCATGGCATCTGGGCGTGGGATTCTGACTCTAGGGCAATCTTTGGGGAAGCAAAGTGAGCCTCAGTTTCCTTCTCTGCCATGAGAATGAAGATGATCCCTCCCAGTAAACTCTCAGTATAAACTGAGAAGGAAGTTACAGGATACACGATTGGCTCATAATAGGTTGTCCATTACGATGTATTATGGCTGACTCATCCTTCATTGAACAACTTCACTGAATCTTTTTAGGGGCAGTGATTGTCACCAAGGTGAGTTAGTGACAAAGTAACAGTTAGTAACAAGGTAACAAGTTGCAGTTAGTAACAAGGTACCAAGATGAAGTGAAAGGTAGGAAAGTTGCTTTTCTGGGATGAACAGGGTAGGAGGGAAGCTGACTTTTCCCCTTCTTTCTGTCTCCAGGGTGGAAATGACTTATCAGCGTATGGAGAACCCGAGCTGCCACATGGTTGATGCCAGCCCCTCAAGAGAGACTGTGCTACAGAACGTTTTGCAGCTGATCCAGAACACTGGTCATTAACTGTAGTTCATTTGGCCATGTGCCTCATTACACTAAAAGAGAAGTTGTGTGATGCACCTAAACCCCAGGACTCATCAGGCATCTTCTTAGATTCAGGTGGCGCAAGCATACTGGGGGGTGGGGGGGTACTGGGGAATGGACATTGTGCTTTTTTCCTGACCAACAGAACCAGCCAGCAGCTGCTGATTCTTTTCTGCCTGGCCATGTACCATCTTCTTGGGATATATTTTAACACTGTGAGCACCTAGAAAGATCTTCTGATCCAGTGGTGAGCCTACCTGCACCTGGAAGCTGAGGATGTCAGATGTGGCCCACATTGATCAATTGTAATGGACTAGCCTCATCTCCTTTTACCCCAAATCCTATAGTCAGCATTGTCGCAGAGCCTGGCTGTCCCCAAGATGTCCCCTTGGAGCCATTTAGGAGGGGGGGCACTTGCAAAGAAGCCATCGATCTTGCTTCAGAGGCTAAAAGAACATCTTGGACAGTTCCGTGAATGAGCACCTCAGATCTGAATAGACACGTGCCCCTAAGCTGCCAGTATGCCAACCTTGTCATTCTCCTTTTCTCGTCTGCATTTCATTTCACTCCTCTGAAATCCAGTTCTGGGTGTAATGAGCAGTATGCTTTTTACTTACCCAGCACACTGATTTGTTTATATTGATGTTTATGTCATGTGTTTGCTCACTGTAGGAGCTGTGAGTCACTAACCCAAACTGAGGCCAAGGAGCTAAATGCAGCATTTGCTGTGTGTTTCCATTACACAAATTTAATTTATCTTAATAAACACCATGGATTCTGGAAAGAGATTTCAGAGTAAATTATCTTGCACTGTGAATGTCTTCTGATTACATGTGAAGTCAGCTTGAAGGGTTCTTTTGATAGAGAAAAGAGCTGTGGAAGAGAATCCTGGTGGCTCCATAGCCTTGGCAATCATGTTAACAGTTTGGTCTGAGAGGGGATAGACAGACAGTTAGTGGGCCTGGAGGCATAACCCTCTAGTAATAGTTACTTGGGAGGTTGAGAAAGGAAAATTGAATGTTCAAGGCCTTCCTGGGCTACAGCATATGTTCAGGGCTAGCCTGAGCAATGTAGTGAGACCTTGTCCCAAGATTAAAACATTTGAAGAGGACTGGAAGTGAAACTCTGTAGAACATTGGACTGAATAGTCTATTCCTGGGCTCAGGTCCTGGGTTCCATTCCCAGTACCATAAAAATTAAAAACATATGAATATGAGTAAACATAAAAGGTATTAAGTAATTTTTCAGTTATAAGGAGATGGCTGGGTCAGATTACTATTTAACACACCAGTTCCTCTCATTTTGAGCCCACATCCCATTTCTTAGGATGAATCCATCCCCAAGTAATTACATGTAAAGCCTTATCAGGTTTACCCTAATCTTAAATTATAATAAGATTTAGTATTAATGTATTTTTTCACTTTTGGAACTATGTATAACTTATAAATAATGTGTCTATGTATATGATATGTTGTTGGCTTCAGTAGAACATAATTTTAAAGCTGATAAATAACGTTAGGGCTCTCTATAATGTGGCAACTACTTCTACAAAGGGTTTTATTCAAGCCTTTCTGAGATGATTGTGCCAGAGGCCCAGAAGGAAGGAAGTCTTAGTGCTCTCTTCATGAAACCTGCCAGGGAATAAACTTGCTGTGATTTTCCTAACCCAATCTGTCATTATGGCTGTGTGACATATTTGTCTGAACATCTCCTCGTCCCCCACCACAAGTTTGTTTTTTCATAGTCTATGGTTCCTAAGTACATGAGAAGGTAGAGGGTGTGAGTTTGGCATCTGTGATCAATGGGCTTTGGTGGTGGAATGTTTGTTTCAAACAAACATTGTATTCACATTACAAATATCAAGGGGATTGTAGAAGTCTCATTCCCTATACAGCTGATAGGTACATGATTAGCATTAGAAAACTCAGAGGCCCCTACCAATGTCAAGATACTTGGCTCTGCTCACTGCAAGGTGGGATGTGTTCTCATCACAAGATTCCTTCTTTTGTTCTCATTAATGAAAGTTCAGCTCAGGACATTGGTGCTAAGACCACAGTGTTCATTTCTGAATTTCCCAGACACTTAGATGCATCTGGTTGACTGGCTCTGGCAAAAGGAGCATGAAGAATGTCAAGTGAGTATGTTTCCTTTCTCCTTCTGTCCCTGCTGTGATCAGGTAGTAACCAGGAGGAATCCTGCAGAGAGGTGAACAGCAGGACAGGTGTAGTTGTGCTGAGTGAGAAGGTCTTTGCTGACTAGGGTTACACAGACTAGTTGGGACCTAATGTTCATAGGTTTCACATACCTAAAGCATAACTCACCACAGCTGGCTTCCTCACATTCACATGCAAACACTTGCCTACTGGGATGGTTAATATTGACTGTCAACTTGACAGAACCTAGAATCACTTAGATACAGATCTCTGGGTATATCTGTGGGGGAATTATTTGAAGCAAGAAGACACACTCTTAACAATGGTGGTATTGTTCCATGGGATGGGATCCTGGGCTGGAAGGAAGGGGGAACATGAGCTGTGTACCAACAGTCATTGGCTTCTGCTTCCAGACTCAGATGTAATGTGACTTCACTCCTACCATGCCTTCCCACCAAGATGAACTGTAGATGTTCAACTATGAGCCAAGATGAGTCTTTTCTTTACTAAGTTGCTCTTGTCAGGTATTTTGTCATGGCAATGGGAAAAGTAACCATGAGCAGTCTTAGATGGATGCATAGCCTCCTTCTAGAAATTATGGCATATCTTGAAATCCCTTGCAGATATGTGAGCCATAGAACCTGGTCTGACTGGTGGGGTGTAACCAATAGGCATTGATAATACCACTTCAGGACTGTTTGTACAGAGTCATGCTTGGGTCCTTTGCACTTTTTTGTAGTCTGCTGGTTGGAGGAAAACCAGAACAGGAAGAAATTCTTTGTCTTCAGAGAGGGAAGATGGTGGTAAGATGAAAGAGTATGTCTACCAGTCAAACCTGTTTACCCTTGAGCTCCATGGGAGACCAACACACATTTCATTGTGTAAAATGGTCTCTTATTTTTGTCCTTACTCTTTAATATGCAGCAAATTGTCTTCCTTTCTAACATATACCCAATATGTTTGTTTACTGTATATTGGATGACTGAGCAGGCTCCCATCAGATGTGAACTTCCTGAGCATGGCAACCACATGCTTTGGAGGAAAGGGTGAAATGTTTTGAAAGCAAAGCAAAACAAAACAGAAAAGGAATATTCTAAAATACACTTGGAAGAAACGTAAGGTAGAAAGTGCCCCTAGCTTTAATGGGAATGGCATGCCAACATCTGCTTCATTTGCTGAATGGAATCCAGTAGAAAACCCATAGAACTATAACTATGGACTGAGCTCCTAGAAAGTAATTGAGTGATCTTGTAAATAGAGAGTCTAAAGTCACTTGAGTGGTTGTTAAATGGGCTTGTGAACTGGGTGGGATTTGAAACAACTTAGAAAGTATATCTCCAAGTGTGTCTATAAAGGCATTTCTAGATATGTTTCAGGTAGGGAATAGACTGCCCTTAGGTAGAGAAGAACCTTTCTCCAGATGGTCCAGATATGCAGAGATCTAAGGAAAAATCCACATTGTCCAACTGCCTCTATGCCTTCATTAGTGAGTGCTTCTATCTCTGCCACTGTCCTTGCCAGTCAGTGTCAGACTGAAGCTTCTTCAGCCTTCTAATGTGAATTAAAAACACAAGTGTCTCTCTAGGAATCTCCCAGGTCTTAATCAATGAACTGGGCCTGCTGAGATACCAGTCTTTGGACTCAGCAGCCTCCAGGCTCTTAGCCTTTTCCATATGCGGCTGGCTATTCTTGAACAACCCAGGCCCAATTGTGTAAGTTAACCCAATATATATTCTACATATATGCACGTGCACACAGACAGACAGACAGACAGACAGACAGACAGACAGACAGACACACACACACACACACACACACACACACATAGACATTCTGCAAAAGTAAATCTTGCCCTTAGCTAGAAAATATGTATAGGGTCCATGTTTGGTTTGTACATTATCTTGAAGTTTAGTTAAAGTAAATATACAAAATCAGGGTTTTCAATGTGTAATAAGCAGTATTCTCTAGAAAATGAGAACTAATAGAAGTGTGTGTGTGTGTGTGTGTGTGTGTGTGTGTGTGTGTGTGTGTGTACACTAGTCATTGGATTGACTTACAAAATAGGGGTTGGGTAGATACTACTGAGTTGCTATTATTTAGTGAAAATAGCACTGTCTAGAAAAATAGGCCATGGATGGATTGAGTTATTAGCAGAACAAGTGGGTGAAGGGGAGAGTGCAGATACTTTGATTTATAAAATGATTCAATAAGAATAATGTCAGAAGTATAAACAAAGCCAGGGAGACCTGCAATACACAAATTTGAGTCCTCGAAGGAAAGAAGGAGAACAGAAAAGAAAAAAAAATCATGTAAAATAAGAAAAAGATATTTCTCCAATGTAGGATAAAGTATACATGTACAGATTCCAAGATCTCAGCAAACGTCACCATTATAAACACACAGAATGCCAGGGCTATGTACATCATGGTTATACATGTGTAGGACCCTAACACCCACATCCTTGTGGGAAATGCAGACTGTTCTCTAATGTGGACATATGATCCTTGTAAATAGTATCATTTATCAGAATGTGGTACTGGAGTCAAATCATCCAAATCCAATGCCATATGATGAGCAGTGCATAGGTTAGAATGAGGCAACTGCTGAACAGCAAGAAATTACAGCCAACAGAAGCTGAAAGAATCATAAGAGGATGCTACCCAGGACCTCAGAGGGACCACAATGCTACTAACATGTCCATTTTTTCTATTTTTAATTTAAATTAGAAACAAGATTGTTTTACTTGTCAATCCCAGTTCCCTCTCCCTCTCCTCCTCCCTACTCCCGCACTAATTCCCTATCCCATCCCCTTTCTGCTCCCCAGGGAGGGTAAGGCCATCCATGGGGGATCTTCAGAGTCTGTCATATCCTTTGGAGCAGGGCCTAGGCCGTCCCCCATGTGTCTTGGCTGAGAAAGTATCC